TATATATATATATATATTTTTATTTTTTTAAAGCTTAGAAATAAAATATTTTGGCTGCCACATAATGTGGATTTTAGAGGGAGAACCTATCCACTTTCTCCTTATTTAAATCATCTATCATCTGATTTGGGTCGTTCTTTGCTTTTATTTGCAAAAGGAAAACCTCTAGGTCCAAATGGATTAAAGTGGTTAAAACTACATGTTATTAATTTAACTAATTTCAAGAAAGGAACTTCGGTTAACAGCCGCCTTGAATATGCAGATCAGAATATGGAGAATATAATAGATAGTGGTACTAAACCTTTAACAGTAAGTGTTTATTTTGAATTTAAATACTGTCTACTTTTTAAATTTATTAAAGAATGAAATAGAAATATTTTAATAATGCTTAATTACATATTTACATTAAATAAGTATATACGAATTTTCTTCATTAGAATATCTAAAATAATTTTTAATAGAATTGTTATTTATACTGTGAAGGGCAAAATGTGGTGGACACAATCAGAAGAACCATGGCAAACTCTAGCTGGCTGTATAGAAATAACAAATGCATTAAAAGCACCAAATATAGAAAAATATATAACTACATTTCCAGTGCATCAAGATGGAAGTTGTAATGGTCTTCAACATTATGCAGCACTTGGTAAAGATCAAATTGGTGCAGAAAGTGTTAATCTATATCCATTTGATGTTCCAAAAGATGTATATTCTGCAGTTGTTTCGATTGTAAATTTCTTATTTTATAGAAAAGTATAAATTGCAATGTAAATATTTTCAGAGAAGTCATATTTAATTGTATTTTAGATTGAAGAACAACGACAAATGGATGCGAAAAATAATGTTAAAATTGCACAAATATTAGAAGGATTTATAAAAAGAAAAGTTATAAAACAAACTGTGATGACAACAGTATATGGTGTTACAAAATATGGTGCAAAATATCAAATTGCAAAACAATTAAAAGGCAAATACACCTGTACTATTTATTAATGTGTGCGCACACGCTTGTGTGTGTGTGTAACAATAATAACATATATTGCTCCAATTATATATTATTATTATGATTATTATTATTATCATTATCATTATCATCATCATCATCATCATCATCATCATCATCATCATCATCATCATCATCATCATCATCATCTATTATTATTATTATTATTATTATTATTATTGCTATGATTATTATTACATTTTGTGTAGATATGGACAATTTTCCAGAGGAATATGTTTGGCCTGCTAGTATATACTTAACTGAAAATACATTTCACAGTTTAAGAAAAATGTTTCAAAGTGCAAGACAAATTCAAGATTGGTTTATTACATGTGCACAAATCATTTCTTCTGTTTGTGGTGAAAATGTAGAGTGGATTACTCCCTTGGGTTTTCCTGTTATACAACCTTACGTCAAACTACAAAAAATTTCAACAATTCGTTTAAAAAGTATTTTGTTAGTAAAAATTTTCCAAATACATGTGTAAAATTAATTTTATTATTTAGTACTATAATGTTTAAAATTAAAATTGTTAAATACTATTTATATTTATAAGATGGATGCAAATTATATTTGTAGGAAACCTGATGCAGTAAAGCAACGTAATGCATTTGCACCAAATTTTATACACTCTCTGGATTCTACTCATATGATGCTTACTGGTTTATACTGTACCAGAAAAAATGTCACTTTTGTTTCAGTACATGATTGTTTTTGGACTCATCCTTCTACCATAGATATCATGAATAAAGTAAGTATAATATAAAGTGGATGCAATTTAGATTTTCTAACGTTTTTCATACTTTTCTATGTCATTATTTTTTGTAGATATGCAGAGAACAATTTGTTGCTCTTCATTCTGAACCCATTCTTGAAAATTTAGCTAAATTTTTTATGAAACGATATTCACCAATTTATTTGTAAGTAATGTTTACAAAAATATACATATTTTTATTAAAAAATAAATTCATAGTTTACAATACATACATATTAATGTATTTTTATATGTGTGAAACACTTCATTGTTTTACATTTAAATACTATATAACATTAGTGTTATATGTATTGTGGGTAAAGCTAGAAAAACCTAGTAGACCTAGCATTATCCAAATAAAGGAGGATGTATTTTGGTATTTTTGGTATTGTCTGGAAATGAGAAGTTCTTTCAGGACTTTTAAAAGCATCTTCCAAGGAACTAAATATTCCTTTATCACTTTGCTGAGAAATGATTTGTCAAAAATCAGTCGAAATATGTGAAAATGAGACTGATCAAATACAGGGTGTTCCAGCAATGGTAGTACAACTGAGAAGGGAGTGATTCTATATGCAGAAACGAATCGAAAAAAAAGTGTACTTAACTTTGGCTAACAAGGAGACGTTCGTGGACATCGCTTTTGGAATAGTAGTAGGTATAAGTTATAGTACATACCTAGTTTTGAAAAACCTTAATGGGTGTCCTCATGGTGGGTCTTCGTTTTCGAAATATTTTGATTTAAAATTTTGTATGTATCTTGTAAAGGAATTATTTAATATTCTTTAGCAGAGGGAGTTGTAGGTAAGCCGATAGTGCTGTTAACTGGAAAGTGGTACAGAGTAGATTCGAATCTCTCTCCCTCGCTGATGTTTTTTCTCTTATGTTTTTAATAATACAATTTTGAACTGAAAAAATATTTTATTCATTTTTGCATTAATTGCACCGAATGAACAAATTGTTTGGAAAATATCTACCCCAAACCAGTAGATATATGGACATCCTTGCAGACTTCCAGGCATTACTGTTATTTCAACAATTGTTTGAAAATTATGTCTTAGCCATTATTATGTTAATAATAATGACTAATACAGAAAAATATATGTAACACATTGCTATTTTATTACTGTACTCCTGTTTTCTATATATTATATTTTTTGTTTTGTTTTACAACTAATATTAATGTCATATAGGATTAACATTAAATGTAAAAATAAATAAAATATTTTTTTCAGTTCAAAGTTGTGCTATTAAAAACAAAAAAAAATATTCCGGGAGATTCGAACCCTACTCCCCCTACCGCTTTCCAGTCAACCACGCTATCAACTTTCCTACAACCCGTTTTGGTAAAGATTATTAAATAATTCCTGTACAAGGTAAATATAAAATTTTAAATCAAAATATTTCGAAAATGAATGCCCACCATGAAGAAACTCATTATGGTTGTTCAATACAAGATATGTACTATAAAATTTATACCTACTGCTGTTCCATAACCGATGTCCACGAACATAGGATCCCTTTGTAAGGCAAATGGACTATCATCATATCAGTATATCAGCGTACAATTGATGCTACAATTCTGCGTAGAAATCACAAGCTCACTGTTAATTTTAATAGTCTAAGGATTAATATGAAATTTGTTTAAAATTTCAAAGCTTGAAAGGAATACAAAATGTGACTTTGTAATATATAATACAAAAACCGTAATCCAAACCTAATTCAATCTTAAACTAAATATAGGATAAAATTATTCAGTTCAATCAAAGATCAAGTTTGGTTTGGGCTAAATTTTACAAAAATAGGATGCAGGGAAGAGGCTCCACTTTTCTTCCGCCTAAACATTGGAATTTTAAACAAATTTTTTATTAATTTATACGATATGAAGATTGGTAGTGCTATCGTAGTTCATATGTCATACGTTAGTATTTCGAAAATTCACTGAGGGACGAACAAGTCGGTTGTGCCTACGAGAAGTCATAAACCCACTTTTGTTCATATAACATTGAATATAACGAATTTTACTTTACCAAAGTTCAAAACGTGCATGATTTAAATTAAATTTCGAACTTTACCTACGAATCATAGATAATCATGGATTTATTTGAGTAATTCTAAGTATACCCTCTTTTCTAACTTTACCCGTAACATACATATTATATATTATGTACTTTAATTCGAATATAATGATTTCAGGAAGCTAAATTCTAAAAACTGTGCAGTAGAAAAAATACACGAATCTTTAAACAGAGTACCACAAAAAGGCACTTTTGATATCAATCACGTTTTATCATCTACATATTTTTTTAATTAAATTTATATAAGTCAAAATATTTTATGTATATTGATAATAAAAATAAATTACTAAATTTTAATGTAATTTTTCTACACTTACAAGTTATTCAATTATTACTTTGTTATTGTATTTTAATATTCATAAAGTAGTACTTCATTGATTTCAAGTAATACAAATACAAATTTTTTTTATTTAGGGTTAAAAAATAAAAATATAAAATTTGTTATTTTTTATTTTACGAATGGGTGTATGTAATGTTCTTTTTTTCTTTTAAACTTTATTTCACCTGTAACATATAATTTATACATATTTCTACCTACAGTTTATATAAAATTTTAAATAAAATAAATTAATTAGAATATAAAAATAAGTAAAAATTTTAGATATAAGTTATAATTATAATGTATCTTTATTTATTTAAAACTGTTATTATTTCTTTAAAGCTATTATCATGAAATAGGTTATACTTAAACTTTTATCACGTTTGAATAAAAACTTTCGTTTTTGGATATTATGTAATATCAAGATATTATAGATAAGGTTGCCAACCATGATATAAACGACAAAGATTTATAGGATCACGGGCTTGTTGTATAAGTCCTTCGACTTGACCAGATATACTTGAGGCTAATCCTTCTTCAGTGCCCTGTAGTTTTTGTTCTATTCTGAGAAGAGCTTTTTCTGCTGCTTTATTAGTTGTTGTAGAGCCTATTAATAATGTATTTCTTTTTTAATACTAATATAATATGTTGAATTATTTTAAATTATGTTTACTTTCTTACATGTTTCAAATAAAATATAGAATTTTATTTGGAGAATATTAAATTTCTGCAATTAATACAATCTTTTGTGAAAAAAGGAAATATGAAAATAGAAATTGTATTTACTCTGATTATTTTCAACTGATCTTGTTGAAGTTCCACTTTGTATGTCATGTGCTTTAGCAGGTGTTATAGTCCATTTAAACAATGGATCATATAAAAGAACTTGAAGTAGTGTTATAATTATTTGTCTCTGATCACGAAGTATGGTTAATGTTTTTTCACAACAATGTCTCATTGTACCTTCTACACCAGATACACCCATTCCCACTTCAATATTTTGTGTAAGTCGAAATGGAATGGTTTCAGGAACCGGTAATACCTTCCCCTGTTCAAATGCTATACCTAATAAATTTAATAATGTAGAAATCAAAGCATTCATAAATTATATTACAGATAATATAAATAATAATTTAAAGAATGACTAAAAATAATTACTGACATTATTCCTAATTTTGAAAATTATATAATTGTATTTACCAAAATCAATATGAATTACTTCAGCAGTTGTTTGATCAAGTAAGATATTACTTAAGTGTCTATCTCCTAATCCCAAAATATATCCTGCCATAGATGTTGTTGCTATACTGTAAATGTATATAAATAAATAAATTTTAATATATTACAAATAATTATTATATAATAAAATTATTACCTGCGTGTATATGCCAGTCTACGTTCATACCACGTTTTAGGTGATGGGTATTTTTCAGTAAAAAAGTGATGCAGCACTGGATGCATATGTGCACAACAATTCATAAATACTTTTAATTTCACATCAGTTGATGATTTCTTTACTGCCTAAAAATAAGAACTATCTATAACATAACATTTTATGAGCTATTATGAGATTGTATGTTTATTATAAGTTGCATGGTATTATAGATTGTAATAACAATAACAAAAATAAATCTTAGATATCAGTTATAAAATACAATTTTATTTAAATATAATCTTACTTCTAATTTTTCTTTACAACATTTTGCAGTATAATCTCTTGGATAGTATTTTGTATGAAGTCCAGGAATACTATTTGATCCGATCAAAACAGTGATAATAGGCATTGTATTATCACACCATTCAAGTATTCCTGATCTTTGAGTTAATGGTACAACCTAGAAAAATAAAATAAAATGTAGCATACCTTGTAAGTTCTAATTGTTAATTTCCTACATTTAGTTTCTTTGTAAGATTTTAATAATATATTCATTACGTTAAAAACTTGTTGCATTACAGCATCTTGTCGTAAATCATCTCTTCCCTGAAAGTATATTTGATATATTATCATATATTGTAAAATATTAATAAATAATATTTATTAATAATATACCTTTATTAGTTGATGTCTACATATACCATCTGTACCAATGCAAGTTAGTTTTTTTGGTGCATTTACACCTCCAACAGATTCATATGTTTCTATATATTTAGTAATACCAATAATATTATTGTAGTTTCTGTTTGGTCTTACATTAATTGTCAGTGTTGATACAAATATGTTTTCAAAATTTTTAATGCCTAAAACCTTTTGATTTTTTGGCATTTTAATTATGCAACCCGCTATAAATAAAAAAAATTATAATAAATTGATTTAAAGCTGTTAGTACATATATCTTTTTCTATGTATTATTATTTGATATATTCAGTAGAAATGTAATATATAATGTGCTTACATTTATTTGATGCAGTTGTTAAATTAGCCAACATAACTAAAGCATGTGATAACTTTTCCATTTCTTGTACAATTAAAGTTACATTTGATTTTACCAATTCTTTTAGTAACTTTTGAGCTCCAAGAACTCTTGGTTCTAAAGTTTTACTTTTTCTGACTGTATTGTAATCATAATCACCATGTAAATTTTTTAATGCTAATAATGCTGGTAATGTATGATGTGGATGTTCTAGAGCACAGCGTTGCATAATATTATATATTTTTTCAGAAAATTCATTAAGATCATTATTCATATGTGCTGCCAATTGTGGTACAAGTGGAATAAACTTAAAAGATGGTATTTTGTTCAGATTTTCTTGTAGTACATCGTTAACTTTTTTTTTATGTATATTGTCCAACCAAAGTGCTATTATTCTAAATACTAATAAATTGTAATTTTCACTTTGTTGTAATATTATTAAGTAATATCTGTATAATAAAACGATATTTATTTATACATATTAAGTAGATTAATATTATGTGAAATTTCATTAATTTTAACACAATTAAAAAAACATTGAAATGTTAATAATTAATAATAAAGAAAATATAAAAATGGTAAAAAAAAGTATATTTATACAAATATCAAACCTACTTTAATGCTAAAATTAAATAATTGTCTTTTTCTTTTTGTATATGTTCTAGTTCTGCAACATCATTTGTATTTTGTCTTTGATTTAAAATCATTGCATTTCTAATATCTTTATCTTCAGTAATTGAATGTACATTAATTCCTTTATAAGAGTATGTAACACATTCTTTTAAATTTTCAAATTGTGGCGATTTTATATACGAATTTATTTGCTCAAACTGATTATCAGCAAAGCGAGCTAAAGCTAGTTGTGTATCATGTAAATCTTTAATAGTGTTAGGACTCTGTATACTAATTGATGTATTTATATCTATAGATTTTAAATAATACTTTTCTATCACAGTCTGAAAGATAAGAATAAAGTGTATAGTATGGAATGGAATAAACTTAACATTTTTGTAATTTATTTTAATTTTAACATATAATACACACTTGTGGATTTTCTGATTTTGTTTCAACCATCCAATCTCCATAAACTCTTAATATTCGTGCTCGTAAGTTTGCATCTAAGCTTTCCTTGTTCATTAAGTTACGTAAAAGAAATCGTCCAACATTCAAATCTTTTCTAAGTCGTGCTAACAAAGATTCTTGATAAAGTAATTGATCTTGAATTTTTGGTGGTATATCCTTTTGTTTTGCTAAGACAGCTTTTACGAAAAAAATTATATATAAAAATTATACAAATAAAATATATATAATTACTAAATTATTTCATAATTATATATATAATATAATATTTGTTATAAATACCTAGTGAACGTATAGCAATATGCAAGTTCTCTTCATCTGCTGCTATTTTTGATATTTGTAAATATGTATTTAAAAGCGCATTCTTAATATTTGCATTATTAATTAAAGTCTCATTTATTTGAAACATAACAGTTCTTTGGGTTAAAACAGGTTCAATATATTGAAATTTATTAAAATTTGCAATATCTTGCTGTTGCCATTTATATAAGATCTTCTCATAGTCATCTTGATTAGCTAAGTTTAACTCTTCAATCTCATTAATCAGTTGTAATTGCATTAATTTTTCATATATAGGTTTACTACTTTCTAAAAATAACTAATTTTCAAATACATAATATTTTTTAAATATTAAAAAATTTCATGGTTCTTACCTAAGCTAATATTTTTAAGTGCTTTAATAATACTTATACGAGCATTTTGAATTGCATCTTGTGTAGCTATCTTATTATTTTCATGAAAATATTTTAATGCTTGATAATGATAAAAATGATAATCATGTTCAGTTATTTCTGATTTTAAATTACAATTATATTGTGTGTGTAAAGTTTGGTTTGTCTCGTAAATATTCCAATTGCCAAGTCGCCAAGCACATTCATACTGAATGTCTTCATCTATTTGTGCACCATTCTTTGACATAGTAGATATAAAATTACTAAGTAAATATTGAAGACCAGATTGATATAAGCCATTTGCCATTTCTGTAATGAATAATGTATTATATACAATTTAAAGTTATTATAATAAAAATATACATTTCTTTTAATAATCCACATTTCATCTAATCACAAATATCTAATGGTACTACTAAAATGTTGCTATAGCAATGTTGCTCCATTAGAATTATTATAAGTTTACAACTAAATACATAATTCTGTATTATTTACCTTTAATTACCATCATATTTCCAAAAGAAAGTTCAACATCCTGTGCAAGCATTACTTCATCCCACTTATTTGTATGAATATAATGATGAATACGAGTAGATTGATCTTGTAAATGAGAGGAACCAGTACCACTAATGCCATCAACATTACCTATTTTTGTATAAGAATCTCTAAGTATATTTTGTATCACTCTTCCTTGTTCTGGTGATAATTCATATACATGATCAATTTTTGAAGCACTGGTAAATTTATTGTAATCATTTAAGATCGTTTCACAAGACATTTCTGCATACAATATTGCAGTAAAAAATGCTGAACAATATTTAGCAGCTTTTGCAATATATATATAATTCAACTTTAAAACATTGTTTGGAACTTGCATTCTAATATAGTTCACAACATTTAACATACAACGAACAGTACAAAGATCACAGTTTGTAAATTTTTGTACCGTACAAGATGGAATACTTGCTTCTATTGCAAAATTAAAATGATATTCAAAGAATTTATTAATACATAGACATATAGTAGGTGTTAATTCTTTGTCTCTATGAATCGTCAAAAAAATAATTCTTGGTAAAATTATTTCACAAAAATCAGTACTTAAAGCACAAATAGGAATTAAATTTTCAGCATAAAATTCTGTAAAACACTCCACAGCATTACATGTTAATGTTATAATCCAATTTCTATATGAATCATTAGATTGGATTGTCCAAATAGTATTAGTTGGATTTATAATATTATTAATTTTTATATAATTTATACCAATAGCATTTATTTTTGAAGTATTATTACTTATGAATGGCTGAATATAACTTAGGGGCAATGTTGTTTGTGATTCGTTTAAAACAGTTTTTAAATATTCCATATATTTTGTGTCCAACAGTTTCTGTCCCCAAGAAGATGAAAATACAACATAAAGTACATTAGCACTAATTTTCCGAACTTCAATATCACTTTGAAATAAAAATTGAACCATTGTTATTACTATTTTATATGATAATATCTCTATTAAATCAGAAGATTCTTTAATATGACCTTTTTCAAAATATATCATTGATGTCAAATCAGTTGGTCCTAATTCACCTAAACATTTTACAGCCTCAATTGAAACATTTATATCAGAGGATGCTGTTAATTTTATAAGTTTGTATATTAAATGATGTAATATGCTTGATATACAATCTTCAGAAGAATTACATAATGTTTCAAGTTTATTATACAATTCTTGTAATTCTTTTTTCCTTGTGGATAAGTGAATTTGTAAATTAACAATATCATCTACACTATAATATGTATCACTATCAGTCACTGTACCCAAAAAATGTTGCATTTCTTCTTCCAAACTATAGATTTTTTTCACTTTATATTTTAAATCATTATGTATATTTCGCATTTCTAAAAAAATTGGAACATTTGGAAATAAATTTAACTTCTCTATTGCATCAGATAATATTTCTTTTTTATCAATTATTAAAAATTGAAGTATTTTTAAAGTTACAGGTATTTTTTCCATTTGTACTATGGGAACTAAAGTTATAACAGTCATGTTCAAAATTTCTTCTATTTGTTCACTTCTTACATTTGAAACATGTTTTATAAATTTATAAAAATATTCACATGCTAATTTGCGAAGAATATTGTCATGTATTTTAATTATATGAAGTAAACTGTAACCAATATCTTTTATGACATACATGGATAATGTATTGAAATAGTTTTCTTTTAGCTTTTCAGTAATTAATGTGCAAAAGAATATATATTGATGAAAAGCTTTTATCTTATCTTCCTCAAATTCTCTTTTGTAGATATTATTAATCAAATGTAATAATATTTTTTGCAATACATTTGGATAACTACAAGCTAAAATGTATTGTATAGACATTTTTTGTGTAAAAAGATTTTCTTCCATGTACTTCAAGCAAATTATAATAGCTTCTTTTTTGAAATGTGGGGGATCTGATACTGCAAATGATACTCTTTCTCCTAATATTTCTTCAACATACTCTTCATCATGCAATCTTTCTATGAGAAATATTAATATTTCCTCAAATTTATCTTCAAATAAATTAGAAAACTTTCTTATTTTGACAAATTCATTTTGATTTGATATCAATTTTTGAAATATTTTACATGCTAATTTTTTTGAAATATTTTCATTGTTTCCATTAATACAGTATAATAACCATATTAAAATTTGTGGAAAAATATTCTCAATGATTTTTTCAAACGACAAGTTAATATTATTACAAAAAGAAATAATACTAGATAGATCTAAATTTTGAAATTTAATAAATGCTAATGTATTACTATATACATTATAAAATTGTTCTTCTGATTGACATTGTATTAAGTTCCAAGGAAATAATTGTGATGAATATTCTGAATTGAACCAGTATGTCATTAAGTAACTTAAATTGTTTTCAATGATGTTTGAATAATTGAGTCGATTTGCTATAACATTTATTGCTTTTAATATTATTTGACTATGTATTTTTTTGTCAACACTAAAGCGTAACATTGTCAATAAAGCACGACATTGAAATGTTCCATTGGTAGACATTATAATAGTAAGCATTATTAAAGTACTTGCTGTTGTAGTTTCCATTTTGTCTATTTTCACTTTATCATCTGTTTCATTGTTAATAATTAATTTATTTACTGATTCTTCTATTTGTGTAAATAAAAATTCTTTCCATTTGAATGGAATATTCTTTGAAGAATATACTTTTTGTATGCACTTAATTACTTGTACTTGTACAATAAATGAAGAACTGGTAAGGGCTGATACAATTCCTTTAATTATTGGCATTTGTGCCAAAGTATTACATGTAGTATAATAAAAATGAGAAGGATTAAGGTGAATAATTTCTGAGAAGCATTTAATAAATTCTTTATGAACAATGAATCCATATTTTTTTTCAGATTGAAGCTTATTAAATTCGACAATAATGTCCATTAACTTATTTAGTTTGCAATTATAATCTATGGCATAGTTCACAAAATATGGCAGAACATTTAATATATAACGAATAACAATCTCGTCTTTATAACATTCATGATATACTTTTAATAAATTTTTCAATGGTAGTTCATTATGATTGTTCCATAATTCTTCTTTACCGTACTTTGATAAAGATTTTAAAACTGTTATAGCCATTATGAAGTCAACGGTATGTGAAAGATCATACATATTAATTTTAAGTAAATTGTTCATAAGCTTTATTTGAATTTCACACTTTCTCTGCTCTGCATTTATACTACAAAATAGTGCTAAAGCTTTTGTTGCTTGTATTCTAATTGTACCTTTGTTGCAAAAGTTACATTGCCTCTTTTGTTTTATTTCTCTATCTAAATATTTACGTCTGTTTTGTAGAGACTCATAATCATCATAATAATCATTATTTGTTTTATAATCAATAGTTTCACTGTCTTCAATATTCATTAAACTAAATATATTTTTTAACATATCCAAAGTTGCAGATGTAACAATTATTTTTGCTACATCAGCATCATATGATGTTTCATACAATATATTAAGTGCTTTTGTTACATTAAAAAGGTAGGTATATTTGTTTCTTAATGGATCTATATTTTCCAATAAACTATAAGCAGTAGCTAAATAATTTTTCATTGCTTGTACCAAAGACAGCTCTTCAATATCTTTAGGTATCATATTCAATTGTTTCATCACTGATATAACTTTTGCTATAATTGCGATCTTTATTATAATTATATGAAGATTATCACTTTCATTTTCATTGATAATAATAAATAAACTTTCCATTAAGTAAGTTACGATATCCTGCATGTATAGTACAGGTTCATTTACTTTTAATTTTTGTTCAGAATTTTCTTTCTTGTTTTTAGAGAATAAATTTATTTTATATTTTAATAATAAGTAGTATTGTTCAATATGTTCATAAAATGATTCAGTATCTTGTTCATTTCTTAAACAGTCACATAAGTTATTAATATTATATTCATTGAATTTTATTTGCCCTTTATGTTTTGATTTTAATGTAATGTTGATAAGTAAAAAGCACAGTTCATCAATTATTATCTGTGTTGCCATTTTATACCATGGAATATTTAATGTCCATTTTATGAGACATGATCTGACAGAATTTGAATTCATTGTTGGTGAATATACATTTATATTAAACATGGTAATATCAGTAGGTAATGGCAAATATTCACAAATTATTATTAATGTACGAAAACTCATAATAGACCATTTCATTACATTTGTAAGGTATAGTTTTAAAAGTGCATTTGGGTTTGTTATTTTATTATGTATTATAAAGAGCTGTGTGAGTCTATGAGTTGATATTTCATTTTGATTTATATTCAATGATCTATAATTATAAATTGGTATTGACAAACATAAAACCAATGTTTTAAAGCAATTTAAAATAACATAAATAGAATATATCATACCTTAATAAAATATCCCATATCTTGTCCCAGTAAATGTTTGAATTTTCAGTATCTGCTACAGAAAGTACTTTTTCATTCATTAGTAAAACTGCAGCTAGTTCATATAAATTATCCATGATATTTTCTTCCTTGCAAGATAATGTAAAAAGATTTACTAAAATTTTTAAAAATGTTGGAAAATCTTCTGATTTTAAACATTCAGGGTATTTTTTAAATAATATTGTGAAGACTTGCACCATTGGCCAAGCTTCTTCTGGATTATTATCAATAAGCATATCAACTGGTCCATTTATTTCAATAGAGATTCGTCTGCGTTTTGCTGATTGTATATAATCACATATATCAAATGACTGTTTTTTAATTGCCAAATCTGGATTTTCTAATATTTGTCTAAAAACTACAATAATAATATACTCTTATGATTAATAATTAAAAATGTACATCTATATTGAATTCTTTACTTAGAAAAAAAAGTTACCTTCAGTTGCAAGATGGAGAAAACTCTTCACAAGTATATCTCCTTTAAAATCTTTTAAAATCATTAGATACATACTTTTAAGTATTGTATTCCATTTTTCCCAATCACAAGCATAAGCACCATCATAGGGTTTATATACCCCTTTAGGATGATGAATTTGTACAAAAAGTAATAGAAGTTTATATTTCTCAATAGAACTTCTTAAGCTGATTATATTTGGTAAAATATTTTCACTAAAATGACAAAGTGTAATTCTATATTCCATTACTATTTGTTGGCATACTATATTTGTAAGTTTATAACTGGATTCAGTTAATATTTCTTGATTTACTTTTACATCAATGTAGATCCTTTCTAACATAAAAAAAGAAATTGTTTTATGAATGACTTGTGAATAAATATGAGTTCCATGATATATAATTATTATATTAGTTACTTAATAACATATAGTTATTTTAATAAAGAATTTCAAAATCAATTCTAATTAAAAAAAATTTGTTTTAAAAGTTACTTCACATACCTAAAAATAATAGTATTCCTTTTATATTTAAAAGTAAATTTGAATGCAAACAACCATACTTTATAACCATTTGTAAAGCTTCCAAAATAGCTCTTTTACTTGTAAAAGAAGATGTATGTTGATATAAATTTATACATATCTTTAACAATTCTTCCCACTCTTTATGTAGTATGTGCACTTGATACGTTCTAAATGGAAGTACATAAGAAATAAGCACATTTATGTAAGTATCATGATAATATTCATACATGCTTGTTCCTAAAACTTGTAGAATTAAGGGCATTATATCTTCACATTTTAAAAGTGGTGCTTTATAACAATTTGCATGTTGAAATGTTTTTTGCACAAGTGTACATGTATTCTGTCGTTCATTGACTGCTCCTTTATTATAAGTATCTTTAGATGCAAATCTATCTGTTTCCTTTAGTAAGAGTAAAAATAATTATTAAATTATGAAAAATTAATTTTAATAAATTTTCTTTTAAATATTTTTAAAGATAAATTTACACTTACAATCAATAATATTCTATGGACTACGCGCATTATATATGACCAATTTAAAATGTCTTGTGTACTATTTCCTGTATTTTTACAAATCTCTAGTATTGCTTCTTCATTTTCATATAGTTCTAAGAGTTCCAAAACACATTTCTAAAATAAAAATTACAATTATTGAGATAATTAAATAATACTTAAAATATTAATATTTATTAATTAATGCTAATGAAAAATATTTAGTAATTATTTTTCTTGATTAGAAGCTATTTCAAAACATAAGACAAAATTTAATAATATAAAAAAGAAAAATTATGTAGTATTTGACACATTGTAAAAAGTTTGCAATAAATACATATGCATACATACCTTTCTATCTGTGATTTTTTTACTATCTGCATTTTTCAATATTTTCTGAATTCTTTCTAAATATTTTGACATTTTAATCACAAATCATCACATTCACTTATTAATATACCTAATAAACCATTTACGACATACATATATACATATGTATACATAAATGCATACACATTCAGATATACAAATATGTATATATTATTTGATAAAATGATAATATAAATTAGTGTTTAAAACCTGAAGTAGTATTACATTTTCCACAAATAATGAAATATACAAACTTATGACTTTAAGAGTAATTCCTTGACAAACCTCAATCAACAAAAACACTAGAATGTTATTTACAAAATAATGTTTGAAAATCATATACATAATTATGTGAATAGCAAAATTAGAGTAAATTTATTAGATGTAATAAATATTATGTATAATATTCCTACTTTTCAGTTGTAAACACAATATAAAATAGTTATATACCAAAAAATTATAAGATCATGTATATTTATGTAAATTAACAAAACAATCTGTTACATATTTTGTTCCTTTAAACGTAATTTACAGGTAATATAAAAAATAAATTTAATCCTTAAAAAGAAATATTTAAATACGTAATATTATAAATTATAAGACAAAATTCTATTAGAGTAATTATGTGTTGCATATAGTTCAATATATTCGTTTTTGTTGCAAAAACTAATTAGTAGCAAAATGTTATTATCTAATATGTGGACACAATAATAACAAACGGAAAGCATAATATACATTTTCAAAAAACATTTTCAAGAATTATAAATAAAACAAAAATATAATAGGAAATATTTACGTACTATAATTTATATTACTATAAGTTTAAAAAGTTACATTAAAAGTGTTAAGATATATATTATTCTTGTTGTTTTTGTTGTTGTTATTATTACAGTGTACAAAAATTTACTTTAATTATGCGATAAAAAATAACAACAATTCGTTTTAAATATTTAATTATATTATATGTTCGAAGTTGCTTATATTCAAACAAAGTAATCATATAATATACTATATTTAATATCAAAATTAATATTTAATTTTATGCATATTTATAGCATTTCATATTTTAAAGAATGCAAATATTATTGAAAAAATTGATCGTAAAATTAAAAGTTAAGTTAAAATTTATAACTTTTTAATTCTAAAAAATAACTTTTGTAAAATTTAAAATATTTAAATTAAATTACATTTTTAATGTTGGAAGTAAGATATTGAGCGTCTTTTAATTTTGAATAGTTAAAAATAAAATACTAAACATTTATAACTTTTGCAGCGTAAATTATAAGAAATTTATTACTTGATATTTTAAAACATAAATAAGAATAACTATATTAAATATTTAAGTTATGAATATGTTTTATATTGAATAAATTGCTTAACTTGTAAAATATGTTATTATAATATTAATTTTTTTTTAAATATACTAAAATATTTTGAAGTATTAAATTATTCTGAATGGTTATAAATCTTTAAAACATGGAAAAACACGGAAGTTCAAGGTATTTCTCGATGATGGCTATGATATTAGTACATATTCGACGATCGTCGTTCCCACAGGCCAATTTCGCTCCAATTTAGTGTAAGTATTGGACAGAGTTCAACTATTAACTCTTTATGAACCGTGGACTAAATTGTTGGTTGAATTCCATTTAATATTTTTGAGATACGTTTATATAATCCCATGCTTAATTTTATTTAATGATAAATATGAAATATATATAGTATAATATTATTAGTTATCAAATTGGGAAGTTATTATTGTATGTTTATTTGTATTTTTCCCATAACTTTTAAATGTTTTTGGCATATTATATTATAATATAATATTAAATAAATGCGATATACATTATTTTATATTCATTAAATTATATATTTTTTATGTGACAATAGCGGGGCTTTGTTAGTACAATACTGTTACAATAAACGTGTTCGGTGTTGGTACATTATTATCAATATTATGTTCTGAATATCGATCCGGAATAATTCTGGTCATACGATATTAATGTATAAAAAAAGTGACGCAGAGTAAAATTATTCAATGATACGATTTAGTAAGATCTTTAAGGCTTATATATACATTATCAATAATGATACTCATTTCTTGGTATGAAAGCGAAACGACACTCGCATATAACGTTGAGTCAAATAAAGTCAGCCTTTGTAAACAGATTATAGTTCATAATCATTCGTCAAGGGTCGTCTTACGAATGGCTCGGCAACATAATTCTCCCATTACGAAAGTTCCAGAGGCACCGAGTGCCAATTGATTGAAACAATCTATGCATTCCAGCTACACGTGATGTAATTGAACGGTTCACAGACCGACTAACAATGCTAATTTAAACTCCAAAACATATTAATATGCTGTATTTTATATATGTGTGTATGTGCCCACACACATATATGCATGGGTAAATACATGCGCCCATGTATGTAAACGCATGTGTCACGTATGTATTTATGTGTGTATGCATGTATGTACGTATGTGTGTAATCCATGTCTATAATATTAAATTTATCATAAATATTAAAGAATATTATTTTACATAAATAATGTATGTGTAGTATATTTTAATATAATATTATACAAATATTACTATGCAAATTGCATTTTTTACAATAATTTACCTTCGATCGATTATCAACAATCATCGAAAGTAATTTAAAAAAAAAAAATGTTTTGTCTACCACGATTTTATTATAAAAAACATTAAAAATGGAAAAATAAATATTTACATGTACTTGTTTATGGAAATAAACATGCTTTAAATATTAAGATGCTGTATTATGCAATTATACAATTAAATAAAAATGATTAAAAAATATAAAATTTGTTTAGACATGGGTATAGATAAAATAACACTTCAATATAGTATATTTTTAACAATTATTTTACGTTTATATATATAATATCAGAACAATAATATGAAGATGTTATTTATGATAATTAGTTATTAACATTATACAATGCTGGTATTCAAAAATTTATATAACAGTATAATACCAATTTAATAAGGACTTGTCCAAATTAAATTTCTTACCTACATACAACAAAAATTAATTCCCGCGTTTTTATTAAATACATATTCCAATTTTATTCCATATACTCTTGAGTACATGACTAATTTCGATACATGAAAATAAAATTAATATAAACGAAAATTAATCATTAAACATAATTTTATTCATTAGATGCAATAGTATAAATATATCAATATAAATATGAAAGGAAGTACAAATCAAGAATTAAGATTTATTTAATGTTTTCTGATTTTAAGATTAAATAGTTGTAATAGTTTAATTTTTGTTATATACATTAAATATATTCGTATTTGTCAATTTAACATTGAGAAATTATTAGTTAACCTTTTAGATAAACATAAATATTAAGTAAATACTAAATATTTGATCAATAATTATTAAAATATATAAATAGTTTCTAATTTTAAAAACTTATATTTTATCAATAAATTATTAAAATTATTAAAACATTTTAATTTTTGTAAGAAGAATTATAGATTTATAATAAGATCTTTAAATATTTCGAGATTTTTCGAAAACCATAGATTTTACTATTTCTTTCTATTTCAAAAAATTTTCTATGATTATGTAAATTACATAAAAAGATAGTAAAACTATTAATAAAAAAATAATTATGTTACTTGAAATAACGTTTATAAACATTTTGTACCGTAGGAACAGTACAAATACAGTTGAATGTAGATCTGATCCCAGATTTGATACAAGAAAAAGAAAATGAAACGGAGAGCTATGCACACACACAAATAATTCGAACATCGAATATTTGCACATATTCAAAAGCAAGGTTAAAACAGAATATAATTATAAGATCGAGAGAAAAATAAAAAAAAGAAAGAACGAGAAACTGCGAACGAGGCATGTTTACGTTTGATCAGTTAACGTGATAAAAACCAAGTAGTAACCAAATATAATAGGTTCCCGTTAAACAAGGGCGGTAGGGGGGCTGTCGTGCCGTTTCTTTTAAAGCGCATGCTGCGTATCTTCCCGACATTTACGTTTCAGCTACGAACTCGACATTTTAGGTTTTAGATATTTAGCTTCAAGTGTTATTTACATTCATATTAGCCACAAATTTTTACCTTTTTCCTATATTTTGAATACACACGCACATACACAGACACATATATACATATATATATATATATATGTTGATTTATAAAAACAATTAAATATCTTTCATATACTTTTTATATACCTTTTAACATTAAACCTGAACTATAGTTCTACTATAGTTACTCGGAATTTAATCTATAATCCTTGAACCCAATATTCTTGTGGCAGCAGACTTTTTGTGAAAAAATTATTCGCAAAGCTAAATTATTACCATCTGTGTAAGAATTTAATCACTAAAAATGGCTTTAAAAATTCGCGTTCAATCACCGAAGGTGAAATATACGGAAGATTATATTGAAGCACAGTACGAGTACCAAACAACGAACGTTTCAGAAGACGACGATATAAACTATACGGTAAGCATCCTAAAATATCCATGTTTTCTATTAATTCTTTTTTTCAAATAAAATGTTGCTTTTTATTATCATAGTTATCATATATTAAATCAAAATATTACGAAAAGAAAAATGATTTGCTATATTTTTTAGAGTAGTATATCTAATCAGTAATATTTAGCGGGTTATTACTAAATTGAATACGTTATAATTAAAATATAATTAAAATATTTTTTAATATTATAATTTGAACAAAAAAATTATATTTAGAAAATATATGTTCAAATAATATTGACTTCGGGCTTGTTCTTTTTTTTTGTAGGAAAGTGTATTTTACATAAAATGATTTTACTACGAAAATTCATTTCTAGAAGTTTTATTATTAAATAGTATATAATATAATATTATATTAGAACATGAAATGATTAAAAAGATTAATTAATTTAAAAATATATCTATACATTAAGTAAGAATTGCGAAGTATTTACATTTAAGTAAAAAGAACGAAAAAATTTTAAATATACCCGCTCTTAATGATATTATCGATCTTTTTTGTGTTTACAAGTTATAATTATTATACGTAAATACAAAATATTATGTACTTAAAAATTTAATTACGTATAAAAATAATAATACATAATTTAAAAAGAATTTTATTATTGCCAATTCTAAATATTTTCCTAATCCTGAAATTTGTTTTACATTTATTAATTAAATAAATTTTACGCATGAATTGTAATTTATGTAGAAATTATAGACAAGTATTAAATTATTAGATAAACTGTAAATATGCTTATATATCAATTTTTTTATTAGGAAAAAGGCGCTGATATTTAATTTGACCAATACATTTAAGGTTGGAAGGTTTTTTTAGACAAATTGTATAAATACTCAATTTACAAATTTTGTATTTAAAAATTCTTTTTTAGGGGAAAGGAACAAATATAATAAAAAAATGAACAGCTGCTCAAACGCTATGATTTTAATTTTGGAAATGAATTTTTCAATTTTTGAAATAAAAATAAAAGATTCCTGTATTGTACACCACTGTGTACTAGCAGAAAAAACCTTGGATACAAATATTAACAATTACTATGTGTAATATTATTTATTTTAAATACCTGAAAGTAATATATTACAGAATATAAACATGTATTTATTGTAATAGGTAACACCTGTATCAACAAAGCTATTAATTAGAACACAACTGAAAGTTCCAAAACTTGGATTAATGTTAGTAGGATGGGGTGGAAATAATGGTACTACTATCACTGCAGCATTATTAGCGAACAAACTTAAATTGACATGGGAAACAAAGGATGGCATTCAAAAAACAAATTGGTAGTTATTATCATTTGATAATAATACATTGAATTTATAAAATTATTTTCTTAAAAGAAATGATGTATTTATATAAAACTTTTGTTTAAATTTTAGGTATGGTTCCTTAGTTCAAGCATCTACTGTCAGATTAGGTAAAGGAAATAAAGAAGATATATATGTTCCCATGTCTTGGATGCTTCCAATGGTAAATCCAGATGATATTGAAATTGATGGCTGGGATATTTCAAATATGAATTTAGCTGATGCAATGCAGCGTGCAAAAGTTTTGGATATTAATTTACAAAAGCAATTAGTACCACACATGATGCACATGAAACCAAGAAAAAGTATATATTATCCTGACTTTATTGCTTCTAATCAGGTAAGTAATATTTTCAATTAAATCCTCCAGAATTCTTTTTTTATTTATATACATATTGTTAAATTCTTATTGACATTTACTTAAGTTGTAGAAAAAAATTTATATTATATTTTTTAATTTTCAGGAGAAAAGAGCAAATAATATTATTTCTGGTACAAAATCTGAACAATTGGAACAAATTAGAAAAGACATTGTAGAATTTAAAACTACAAAGAAATTGGATCAAGTTATTGTATTATGGACTGCTAATACTGAGCGGTTTTCACAGATAATTTCAGGTGTTAATGATACAGCAGAAAATTTATTAAATGCCATTAAAGAAGGTCATACAGAAATTAGTCCAAGTACAATGTTTGCTATTGCAGCTGCATTAGAAGGAGTAGGTAGAATATATATAATATTATTTTGTATTTCAAATAAAGATTTTATTATTATTACTCTTATTTCAAATAGTAGTAATATTAGTGTTAATATTATATAGGTGATGACTTCAAATCTGGACAAACAAAATTAAAGTCTGTACTTGTAGATTTTTTAGTCTCAGCTGGTATTAAACCAGTGTCAATTGTTAGTTACAACCACCTTGGAAACAATGATGGATATAATCTATCTGCTCCTCAACAATTTCGATCAAAAGAGGTAAATTATAAAAAAGAAGATAATCTATGTAATATGTATTTATAGTACTAACATAAGAAAACAATTTTATTTTCAGATTTCCAAAAGCAATGTGGTAGATGATATGGTACAATCAAATAAAATTCTTTATCAACCTGGAGAAAAGCCAGATCATTGTGTCGTTATTAAATATGTTCCATATGTTGGTATGTGTTAAAAAATATAATTTCTCAAAGATTGTATTATTTACTATTATTTTGAGAACACTGAACTACTATCCACTCTTTATTAGGTGATAGCAAACGAGCAATGGATGAATACACATCAGAAATATTACTTGGAGGACACAATACGATCGTGATACATAATACATGTGAAGATTCGTTGTTGGCTAGTCCAATTATTTTGGATTTGGTCCTTTTAGCAGAGATTTGTTCACGTATTACTTTCAAATTGGCTGATTCAAAAGATGAGTTTACTGGATTTCACAGTGTACTCTCTATATTGTCTTACCTTTGCAAAGCACCATTAGTGCCACGAGGAATGCCATATTTAGACAACGAGCTGCAATTGAAAATATCTTAAGAGCATGTCTAGCATTGCCTCCTGAAAATAATATGTTACTTGAGCACAAAGTTGATTTCAAAAATCAAGTATGAATTTAAAGAAAAGGTATTATATATTTCAAAGTAAGGGTATTGTTTGCAAAAAATGAAACAAACAGTATTATTGAAGAATAATTTAAAAAATCACTGAAAAATTAAATGTTGTAGAATCTGTATTATTCATAAAATGAAATTTGTTAATGTTTGGGAAACACTTCTGTCATTCATTTATGTTACGAAATTTATGTCATTGCATATAAATTTGTGTATCTATTAATGTTAAATAATGACAAGTACCAGCAAATTGTTTTAAGGAATGAACAAGTTATTTTTTAATGAAGATAAAGTCTAATTTTATATTCAAAACTTAATACAATTTCATCTAAAAAATTCCTATAACTTACGGTATAGTTCCTTATATGTTTTGTTTAACATAGTTTAATGTTTCCGATCTCAGTATCTAAAAGATTGTGATTTTGAAGTGACAAAATATGTAAAGGAATGAAATGATGTTGATAGGATTCTTCGCTTTAAAAATACCCTTATTGTTTCTAGGTATATATTATATCATTTATAAATGAAAACAATATTAATAATACATTTAATAATCTGTTTATATATTACAATGCATTTAAAAATAAATGATTATGAATGAAATATACACTTATAATTTACTTATTTTAATTTAATTCATTCAAAAGCAGTATTTTAATATTCCAAGACTTATATATCAACATTACGGATTTTAGATAACATATTTCATGTGAGCTAGATTCATACATGGCTTTGATATCAGTTCTATCAGTTATATGTTATTAAATATTTTCCTAATGTTTAAAAGAAATTGAAATTGCATCACACATGATTAATACATGCATTTCAAATAAAGAACTGTTTGATTCATTATATTTTCTAAATATTAAAAAAATGTTTAAAATTAAAAGAATTAACAAAATGATTCCTAAGAACTAGTACAATTGAAAGGCTTAATGAATCTAGTTACAGACTTACTTAGTCTTCCTTTATTTTGATTTTAAATATTATTTTTAATTTTTATATATTTTTTGTATTTACTTTATTATATTACCTTCCTGATCATTTTTGCAATATTGATTAACAATCACATTTTCTTAAAATGCATATAATTGTATTATATATATTGTATACAATATATATATATGCATTATTTATCACCTGTTTCAGATATGGTATATGACATAATATAATAACAAATAATGAATTTATTTATTTTATTATAGGTGCATAAGAAAGATTTTTTAAATATTTATACTTATAGTAAATAAATATACTCAATCCATTCACAAAGGTACCAGTGTTACATGTAAATTCAATTAATTAGTTAGGACATTGCTTATACAGCTTTTTTAAATTTATATCAAATTATTTGATGGAATATATTCGTTATACTGTAGAGTAAAATGCGACAAACAATATATGCAAAATATATTTTGATAAAATTTAGTAAAATATTTTTCATGTTTATATACTTTCTATATATTCACACATATTTATATACTCTATATACTAAATATATATTATTCATAAAAGCTAGTAGAATATTGATGTAGCAGAACATCATACATTTCAAATAAATAAATATCTCTTTAATTATATATAAGAATATAAGTATAAGCAACTTTTTATTTTTAGTTAAATCTAAAACAGTACATAAAACTACATAACATATGTAACAATGTACAAAAGTATTGGCACAGATCTGATTTCCTTACAAAATTTTAAAAATAAAATTACAAAAATTGTAAAAATTAAAAAATGCATCTTTTAATTGCTATTTTATTAGAATATAACATTCTTACTTTTCTACCTAATTCATTCCAAATATGTATGTATGATATAATTTAGACCAGGAAACTATAAATACCTAACAACCTATGTGATATGTTTTAAGTTTTAAAGTTTATTCAGATTTAATTTGCTACTATGTTTTAGCTATATTTTTATTTTATGGTCAAATTGAAAAATATTTAATATACTTTCATTAGATAGAATTAGAAAAATTTTCATATATATAAGTATATTTATGCAAATATATATTTTTCCTCTTGTTTACTTTTCCTTAAATTATATTTTGTAGTTGCAGACATTTTTCGAATAGTTATAGTTATAGGATGTACATTTACATTATTTTTCATTTATACTACTATTTCTGAAAAGATAACTTTAGGACTTTTTTCCATTATTTTAAAATTTTATTTTAATTCGTTTATTAACTTTCTTGAACAGCTACTTCGTCAAGGATTTGTTATATTTTATTTGTTAAAAAAGTTATTGAATTATATTCCTTATAGTAAAACAACTTATATTTATTCTATTAGATATCATGAAATGAAAGATCTTTTTTATATTAAAATTTTTCTTCTCGAAATTGTAATTTCTTAGATTTTCCAATCTATATATGTGTGTTTCCTTTCTAGTTTGATGAATTTATTATGAAACATAAATATTAAGTTGAGTTTTACAACTCTACTATATAGGAAAATCATGTAAACATTGTATTTAGAATTACATCCAAACATTAAATTTATATGTATTTTAATACTTATATTTCGTTGACAACAATTTATATTGTACTCATTATTTATTTTTATTATACAATTGCTTATTTATCATAAATGATGAAAAAGAGGAACATCATTTCCATTTTACTGTAGTATAGACTGGTATCTAAAAGAACTTAATATAGAAATTCATAAAACAACAAAAAGAACACTCCCTGAACCATCACAAAAATCATATCCAATACTTCACCACTAAAGCACAAGAAAAGGAAGTCCAATCCAGCCATTCTAAATAGCCTATTCCAAGAATCACAAAACAAATTATCAACCCATATCAAACTATACACAGACAGTTCAAAAACCTAAATCCGTTCAGACTATGCAAGCATTAGTAGTCAATCGATCTAAAAAGTCAAATAGCATCCAAATACATCAATCCCTTTCTGTGAACGTAACTCATTAAAACATGTCTCGAAAATACAGCTACCAATTGGAACAAGAATCTTACCATTTTCTGCAATTCCATAAACATCATTGCAATGATTCAAAACTATTGGACTAATGACCCTGTCATCCAAGAATGTTAGAAACCTTATATAGAAGCAAACTTAAGAAACAATAGTCAGGGTTCCTTCCCATGTTAGCATTGATGATAATCTAAGAACCGACAAAACGGCCAGAAAAGTAACCATCCTCTAATCAGTTAAACAACTTGTCACTAGATATTCTAACTCATAACCTGAAAAAGAAAATTGAAGAAGAATGGAATAATATATAGGAAAAGTCATCCTTTCAACTAATTATAACAAAAGACAACCTTTTCAAGAAAAGCATATCATATCCTTCAAAGACACAATGAGGTTGTAATCTCAAGGATTATATTGGGTCATATAAAGATTACCCAGCGATATCTCCATAACAGAAAAGAACCACCAACTTATGAATCATGTAACACCCTTCCTGACAGTTAAACATATTATCATACAGTATAGAAAATACCTTAAGGAAAGACATCTTGAAAGAAACTAAAACAATTCAAAACCTAGTACATTATCTAAAACAGACAACTGTACAACAGACTATAAATTTGACTTGTACACACACTTGTACAAACACACACAGTGATTGATGTAATGTTAAACACTGAATGAAAAAAGAAAATTATAATATATTTAAATTTTATACCCAAAACTTATAAGAATATTAAATACAAAATAATATGTTTCATAAATTTACATAGTACATACTTTTCCAGGAAATATGATCTATGTGCATATTTATATTCAGCACTATATTCAAATAAAATATATATTATAAAATTATAAAAAATAAATTGTAGTGGAAATAAAGTGAATACCAATTTATTTGATATATAGTAAAATTCGTATTTTTCTAGAAATTACAATTTTTATGATTCTCTAGTATGAAATACATGTTTAAAATCTATTTTCTACTTAAAAATAAATTAAACTAAAAATTACAGATTTAGATTAAAATTTTATTATTAATGTTTACAATAAATTTTCAAGATTTTTATTATTTGACATTAAAATAAGAAAATTTTAATAGGTTTTAAATAGTCAGTTTATTCTTTCTGTAAATTAATGGGAAATTAATATGCAAAATAATAAATAACTTAATGTAAAAGAAATTCAAGTATGTAGAATTATTTTTCTTTTAAGTTTTTATTTCGTTTTGATTCATGATTATTTTTTCAATAAGACATTATTGTATGACAATACTACAAAAATTATGTTAAATGCAATATTTTCTATGATAAATGGAAAATAAGTGGACAAATTTTTTAAATATATAAGTATAATTTTATAATTATATAATAAATAGTTATTTATCATAAGTTTATATCAGAAATGTCTTACTTCCAAGAAAAGAAAAATTAAAATTTTTGAAATTTTGTTTACTGAAAATGTTCGTGATTTTGTAAATAAGCAAATGTACAATACACTATTTATACATAATAAAAATATTATCACTGAAACGAATTAAATTGATATGATATATCTGATAAGTGTGATATTAATTTATTGCATAAGTGTGAGTTATTAAATTCAATTTTTCATGTTTTATATTTTTGATACGAAAGATATAACTGCGGCCATTACAAACACAAGCAACGTCATAGCTTCAAGGAATTTCACAACATGATAGTTAAACGTGGCATAAATATTCATTTCAAAGTGTACGTTGATTAGTCGTTTCTGTTCACAAAATTTATATCTGCGGATCGTAATCTATGACAGATTTTTGTTATATGTTCTAGAGTAATGTATACGAAAATATTCTATGGTTATTGAAAACTAGTCATGAATTTCGGAACTGTAGAATGTCCGTTGCGTAGGATGAAAATAACATACGCCACAGGCGCCATTAAGTTGCGCCATCTGGATATCATTACGAAGAAATTATATTAGCCAAAGTTTGGAAAAACTTTTGAATAACGTTATTACTCTTCCAGATAACTAGTATTGTAAGGTAAAATTAACGAATTTAAAAATTGATATAACACAAAGCGATCACGTTTGCGTTATGTTTAAATATAGGAGTACGTACTCCTTATGATTATATTCACTTAACCTCAATTTTGAATGAAAAATGAATACCTGTAACTATGAAAAGATAATTTTATATTTGTCTTATGGTAATAGTAAAAAAACCCAATCTTTTTTGAAAGAGGGAATTAAAGATACTTTTAATTTTGCAAGAAAAAACGTGAACTTCAAGAGTTTGAAAATATCGATAACGACGGCATTCTACAAGTAACGACAATATACATTAGTTAGTTAAACTAATTTTTACTAATTTTTTATAAATCAACAAACTTATAATAATGGGATGTGCTATATGTAACAGTTTCATATAAAATTAAAAAAGAAATAAGAAGTCTCATAAACACAACATGCACAAGTAGTATTAAAAAGGATTCATTTTTATTTTTACATGAAAATCAGGTATATTAAATATATTTTTCTTTATTAACTTGTATAAATTTGTATAAATGTATATATTTAATTTAATTAATTTTTTATTTTTTGTTTAGGTCATAAAAATTTCATAAGTACACATTTAAAATACAATGGGAAAACTTTAAATGATTAGATCAAAGATGCAGCACACTGAAGTTAAAAACAAGGATCATAATTATAGTGAAGTAAAGTTAGATAATATTAAACATACTGGTAGTAATATTCAAAATGTATATGATAATGATGTTAAAACAATATGTAAATCAAACAAATCTGGATTAATATCAAACAAAGAAATATTTGGACAGATTAAAGATATTAATGAATTAAAAAAAATAACACCACGTGTAAAATTATTAACTCATGATGCAAATAGTTTAAATGAATTAACTAAAATTTCTTTACACAATAAAATATATGCACAAAAAAAGTTATCAATATTGGAGCAAACAAAGCAAGAATTAAAAAAGTATTGTAGGACTTGTGCTGGTTTAAAACTTCCATTAGTTGATATTTTTAGTGAAAAAGGTAATCAAATGAGATTAAGTCAACAAATTAAACATTTGGAAGAAATAAATCCATATGATAGTTTATCAACTCAAATGTGTATGGACTGTATTTGTGACTTAAAAATGAGTTATAAATTTTTTATGCAAATTAAGAAAGCCGAAGTTAAACTAAAATCTATTCATATAACTCTGACTGATACATTGACAAGAAATATAGAACTAAATAAGTTGCAGAATATAAAAAGTTCTGAAAAGCAAATAGAGGACATTGTTGAGTGTAATGTAATAAATCCCTCTACAAGTAAAGAAAACAATGAACAGGCTTCTGTACCAAAAATATCTGCAATTTTTTCATTAAAAGATGATCAAAAACCTTTAAAAAATGTTGAAAAAATAGATCCTGAAGAGTCAGGAAATAAGGCTGAACTTGAAATTTTTGAAGATTCAATGGTTTTACAAAACAGTGATGATAATGAATCTATAGAAGAATTTGATCCAGATGATCCTCCTTTTCAACCTGACAGTTCTGATGTTGCAGAATCTGATGATGAAGTAGAAATGCCAAATGCAAAAAGACGATATATTCAACAGAAAGAAAATATGAAACAATATCCACAATCAATTTTTGTTTCAGAAAATAATATAGTTTCAGATAATAAAAATACAGATTTTAATCAGACAACATATAATTATGATACGTGTTTAAGAACATATATTAAAATAGAGGATACAGAAACTAATAATCAGTCCACTGAATCACACAGCTTCATTAATTCTGAAATTATAGGTAATACTGAAAGTACAAAAGAATGTTCAAAACAACCAAACATATTAAAACGCAGGTTGTTATTACAAACTAAAAAAGAATTTACAGAAGAAACTGATGAAAATATTTGTCAGTCTAATATTCCTGATAAAAATGGAAGTCATAAAGACTTAAAAGTACAAAAATTAGATGTAAACAATTCTTTAAATATTAACAGCAACCAAGAAGATGGGATCATGTATGTTACTGTAAAGGGATCTAAACCAAATGAAATATTGTTAGTAAAAGTTAAAAAAATGGATAAACCATTGGAGAAAAAAGATGATAGGTCCACAGCAAAAAAGAATTTTGACATCAAACCAATGGATAAGGTGCTAAAACGGTATGAAACATTAGTTACAAAAGAAAAAGATTTATTTCCAGAACGAACGAAAAAATCGGAAATAAGAGAACAGATTATAGAAGAACAAATAGAAGAATATAAAAAAAAGCGAGAAAAAGTGTTAGGTGGACATGCTAATATTTCACTTCCTTTAAAATTTGAAGAACCTCAAGCATGTTATTTTAAACGTAATGAATTTCAAGATAATCAAAGATCTTTTGCACATATAGGAAATGATCCTGTTGTAAAGATACACTTTGATAAAGATGATAATGAATGTAATGCAAATATTAAAATTGAGAATGACATTTCAGAAATTGTAGAACCAATTAAGGAAAAATTCATTAATGAAAAAGCATATGTAAATACTGAAGAATATTTATCGCGTTTAGCAAAACTTAAATTAAAATGGGAAGAAGCAAAAAAGAAGAAAGAGTCTCTTCAAAAAGAATTGGATGAATCTTATACAGAAGGAAATATTGAAAAATTAGCAAGAATTTTAGGAGAAAAAGAAAAGAACTTGCAAGACTTCCAAGATTATTTAAAACAACGTAAAATTGTAATTACAAGATTAAAAGATGAGGACATTATTTCTCTTTATGAAGATAGAAATAATGCAGTGCTTAAAAACAATTTACCTGACTTAATAGATGAAAGTCAACCAGCAGACTATATTCCAGAGGAACATTATTTAGAATGTGATTATTGTCCAGAAACATTTGCTTCTAAAGAAGTCCTTGAAGAACATTTGAAAATGCATGATTATAAAATTATGCATTTTTGTGAAGATTGTATGGAAGAATTTCCAACAAATAAAGCAAAACGAAATCATAATGTGATTTGTATAAAAAAATTATTATGTAAATATTGTGACATGATGTTAGACTCAAAAGGTAAAAAACGTCAGCATGAACAAAAACATTGTGACAGTATGTATGGACAATTATGTGATGTATGTGGTGAAAAGTTTAAACATCAAGGAACATTAGATCAACATGTAAAAACACAACATATGAGTTGGGAGAAAATATATCAATGTCCGAAGTGTCCTAAGAAGTTTGCATTTAAACAAAAACTTAGTTTTCATTTGAAATCTGTGCATACAACACTAAGGGCCTATTTGTGTGAGGACTGCGGAGCTGATTTTAAAAATCCTGCAAGTCTTAGACATCATAGAATACGTAAACATCAACCTGTAGGTAATAAAAGAGAATGTCCAGTTTGCCACAAATTAGTACCATTTTATAGTCTATCTAAACATATGCATACACATAAAGCATATACTATTCAATGTCCACACTGTGACAAAATGTTTAAAAATAGTTCAACTCTAAAACAACATGTCAGAATTCATGAAGATCAACGTCAATATCGATGTGATACTTGTGGTGTTGGATTTAATAGACGAGATGGTTTAAGATTACATATGAGAGTACATGAGAAAACTGATAGTAGAGGATTAAAAGAATGTTCTTGTCAAGTATGTGGTGAAAAATTTCCAAATCACTCAACACTTGTTATACATAGAAATCGAGTTCACAAGGATGGTAGACAATATACGTGTCATATATGTAACAGATCAATGATTTCAACTAGATCATTAGAATGGCATATGTCTCATATACACAATGAATCACTTCCTGGTGTAGTCAAGGAAGATATAGATGGACCACCAGAAAAGAAGAGGGCATCGTGTTATCATTGCAATAAGACATTCAAAACAGAAATGATTTTGAGAACGCATATTAAAAACACACATATGGAAAAAGATCCTATGAAATGTTTAGATTGTGAATTAACATTTACTTCTGAAGTAAGATTAAGACATCATATGATGGTTACGCATAATAGATTAGAAGGAACTTTACCATGTCCACATTGTCCAAAGAGGTTTGTAAATCAACTCAGATTAAAAACTCATATGATATCTCATTCTGAAGAAAGACCATACACTTGTGAAATTTGTGGATTTAATTTAAAAACTAAAATACAATTGATTAAGCATCATCAAAATAGGCATAGCGATGAAAGACCTTTACAATGTAGATATTGTCCTTGGAGATGTAAACAAGTTAGTGCTCTTGTATGTCATGAAAGAACTCATACAAATGAACGACCATATTCTTGTAGTGTGTGTAGGCAACGTTTTAAATACTTAGGTGATAAGAATAAACATGAAAGGCGACATGAGAGTTTGGGAGGATCTGGATTTAAAAGAATAGTACTTGGTCGAAATATTAAAGCTAAAGTACAAGAAGATTCTTCTTGCTCTGAGCATGAACAAGAAGGATTAACTAATACGGAACCTCAAATTCCTGAAAATGAATATCAAGAACAAACAGATCAACAATTTGAGGAAGAACAGATAGTTAAATTTGAAGAAGAACAGATAGTTAAATTTGAAGAAGAACAGATAGTTAAATTTGAAGAACAAGAAATAGCAGAGGAATATGAACAAGTATATGAACAGGTAAACAATATTTTATAATATGATATTATTTCTTATTAAGTTAGGTTCTTATTTTATTTACATTTTAACAGGAATATGAAGAAACATCCAGAGAGGCTTCAGATGCAGCGGAGGTTATAATGAATATGGAAGATACAACAGTTTACACAGAAGAAGTGACTGCAGATAATATTGAACCTACAGAAATTATGGCAGATGAAATGATGACAAATGAAATATTACAATCAGGTGCTGTAGTTCACTTGCAACAAGAGGATGATTCAGGAAAAATACAAGTGATTCCAGTAATGTTATCTTTACCTGATTTAACTGATGCAAATACAGAGGTCAATTTAGCTACTGCATCTATTATGTATAATAATTGAATTGAATTTCGCATTTTATATTTGCGATATACTTTGTATAAAGAAATAATTTTTAAAGTTTTATTGTGGTAATTATACATTTAAAAAAGTTGTTTATTTGATATAAGTAAGTAGGGGCTAAATCACATTCCTGTAGACCCAATTTCAACATATTCTAAAATGTATATTTTCTTTTAGTATATATAAGTATCATTATGTTAAAATATTAATTATGTATCCAAAGGTCAGAATAGTAATCTGCTATCAAAATAGCAGTTTTGTAAGATTAATTTACTGTGTGAAAATACTTATTAAAATCAGTTTAAGATTGTAAAAAGATTGATATAACAAATTTTATCTTCATAATGCTTTTCAATACAGAATTTTCGTTCAACTATAAATAATAAATAAAAGTATCTGTAGTATGATATATAAAGTATTTTGTACAAATCTATAAAAGATGAACAAGTATTTTATTTGATAATGCAAATACAAAATTTCAAGACTAATAAAATTGACATTGTTCATAACCATATGCCTATTTTATAAATTACTTATGATTCATATTCATTTATTGTCTTGGATTCTGGTTATTAATATTGTTATCTATTTATTGTTAATATTGTTTTATAAGTATTCTTCATTTATTAATTTGTTAAAGAACCAGCAATGTCATTATTCATTAAAGAAATCATGCATTTTATAGTTATAAATTATAGTGAATTAAGGAAATGTTGTTGAATATCTTTAGTTTTTTCATTGATTTTTCTGCATAACTTTATATAGAAATATTTTTCTCACATGTAATATATGTTCATATACTACATATTTTCAATATGACTTTGTATGCTTAAAACAAAAATTATATTATAGTATTTTATACATTATGCAATGGATGCTCAAGTGTTAATTCAGATATAACTTGAATATAAATAATTGTTTTGCTTTCTATTTCTTCATATCTAAGAAAAATCATTTTTACTAATAAAAATATTGTTTTTTTATGTTGTAAAATTGCTGTAAAATTTATTATATTTATATATAACTATACTGTTTGTATACATTTCATTGAAGAATTCATTAAGGTCATTTGTAATACATTGCATAATCATTTCAATTTTTTGTAACAAGGATATTTTTTATTTATTACATATTGCAATAAGTTATGTATTCATACATTTTAGTTTTTTTCTCAATTTTAACTTTTATTTATTTTCTTATGCTATTAAACTTCTGTTTGTAAATTACACCTGTATTTTACTGTGGCAATAAAAAAATTTAATTGTCAAATATTTTTGTACATAAAATACTTGCAAGTATTTATATATTTTTATTATACATAAACATTTTCTAAATTTACATTTAAATTATACATCTTATTTTAATAGGATTATATACATTTCTTTTAAATAGGTGCAATAATAAATCATATATTTATAATACATATATTTTTATAAAATTTGTATGGAAAATACAATTAAATTCTGTATTTATATAAAATAAAATTAACGTATATATCACGTTAAGAATAAATGTAAATAGATATTAACGTATCTAAAGAAGATAAATACTGAAGTTACTGTGCTATACAAGAACAATGTACAAATATACAAATGTATAATAATATTAATATTATATTAGTTTTTAATATTTCTTTTTACTTATTTTCTTCCAACATTTGAAATATTAATTATATTGTATGAATACTTCATTTCAAGTGTTTAATAATTTTTTATAATTTTTATAGTAATTTTTATTTTCCTAGATTCTTATAGTATTGTGCAAGAATAAACCATGCTTTAGGAGACATAAAACCATCAGGTGGATTTTCATCTGCTTTTGCTAAACCTATAACAAACATTACAAATGTTATGAAGATTAAATTGTAATTTTTTTTTACAAATAAAATTTTTATTTTATTATTAATTTTAAATGAAAGCTGTACATTCTATAAAAATATTGTATTATACATATGTACATTATATTATATTGTATTATATCATATTACTATATTATATAATATTATATCATACATACATCGCATTTTTGTTCCTGATATAAATTCGAAATCTTCTTTCCGATTTTCATCAAAGAAAGACATCTTTTTATATTTTTTATCATAAGCTGCAACTTTAAATGGTATGATTTCTAGTGATTGTAAACCTCGAGCCATTGTGAGAACACGAGCTCCATGAGTAGGATCATAAAGATTTCCATCAGGTGTGGCACTTCTGTTAGGATGTGGTATGCCAGCAGGGTCTCTTCCAACAATATAAAAGTTAGCACCAGCATTCATTCTAGCTTTTGCATGCCACTGTACCTAATGATAAATAAACTAAGTGTGAAATTAAAAACATTAACATTCTGATATGTCATTATGTACTGGCATATAATCATATAATTCCTAGAAGTAATGGACGAATTTTTTAATTATCTTTAATAACTCATTCGGTATCAAAAGTATCACATTCTCTTTAACATTTAATTAACCATACATGCCACAGCCAACTGTATGCTTTCCATCGCGCATTTTTCGCAAGTTACGCATACTAATATTCACTAATTAAAAGAAATAAAGCATACATAAAGTTGATTTTAACTGATTAATTATATTTGATGCTAATAATACTATATTAGTATTATTAGTAATTAATTAATAATACTACATTAAATTACATAAATAAACATTTTTGTAATGGAATGAATAGAAGCAAATATTTCTGCACAGAAATAGAACAAAAGACTAACGAGTTAGCAAAAGAGAAATAATAATCAAAATGCAAGTTAACGCATTGTTAGGAGAAACGTAGCGACTTCGAAATCGGGAGATTTCCGCGTTTGGTGGGCTAAATGTTAAATCTATCTTCATTATTATAAATGTGAAATAATGAAAAATATTATATTAAAAACTTATGAACTAAAAAATTTATTATAAATTTCTCTTAATTCTATTTATTATTTATAGTTATATTATTTAATATAATGAAAAACAATTGTATTCCTAAGCAATTAATTTTCCTTAAGATAAACTAAAGATAAACATGTACCATGGCTATTCCAGTTACCAGATTTAGATCTCAGATTTATTTTGTAATTATATAAAATTTAAATTTCATCTGATATATTTAAAAATATATAAAAGTACATTATATAAATATAATAGCATTTATCACAAAATCAATGGTAATTATGTTTATAAATATAAGATCACTAATTTGAACAGTATCTATAAAATTCAAGTAAAGAAAAAAATATAAAAAAAAAATGTAAGAAAAAATTGTAAAGGAAATGTAAAAAGAAGTTGGGGCTTTATATGTGCCTGTAGCACCTTATTTTCATTATAGTTATGTAACAACTGAACATACATTTATAATTAAATTTTACCTCAACAGGCCCAGCATACATCATTGGACTTGGAAAAATTGCTAATAGTGTAGAAGTAGCATCTAAATTTCCTTCACTAAGTACAGTCTCATGTTGTAAAATTCTTGTATGTAATGGTACATCATCATCTTTTGTCCAACCACCTAAAGGATGTAACAGTAGAACAGGATTTTTAAACCCTCTTTCTTCTAATAAACGTTTTTTAGTATCCTATAAGTACCAAAATATTATATATTTACGTACAAAGATTTTATATAAATTTGTTGCAAATAAATTAATGTATTAACATACTTGCATCAATAGTGCGTGACCATTATGTATAGGATTTCTAAGTTGAAATGCAAATACAGCATCAGCTTTCATTTTTTTACATTTTGTTATAATTTCGTTTGGCATAAGTCTATATTTATCTAAACCATCATGCCATCTAATTCTTTGAATAACTTCTACATCACCACCTACTAACCAATCTCCCGATTCATGAATTATCTTTACATATGGGTGGCCTAAATTGTTAGTACCAAATTGCCAACCACATCTTTCTTCTTTTCTGTGAAAATAAAATTCAGGCCTACGTAATATTGCAAGGGCTTGGTTTTTGTATTTCAATGTAAAAGCTGAAAGTCCATTCAAACGTTCCTTATCTTCTGTATGTAATGCAAGGACTATGGGAACAGATTGATTAATTTCCTTGTCACCATCAAGGAGACATTTTAAATGCTGAGTCTAAAAATATTTTTTTTTTAGATAGTGTATGTTTCTAGTAATGACAGTTCAGTTTTTAACGGTATTTTTATATTACTACTTTCTATTTTATGTCAATATATTGTATATACCTGGAGATATTGATGCTCTCTCATAAAGCCAGTAAGAGGTGCAGCCCAACCTTCTGCTAAAACTTGAAGCCATTGTACATCTATTTCACTAATTTCTAAGCTTTGAAGTGTAGCTGCTTCTGTTTTGGCAGAAGATATTCGCGACTCTGGAATGAACAACTCCTTTATTGATATTGAGGGTTTTTGAAGAATTGGTATAATACACTGTTTCTCCAGAAGATCAATAACAGTTGCAGCTGATTCTTCTGGGGTACAGTTTACAGTGGTTACTACTAAATCAGGATTTATTGGTCTTTCGTACATTTGATCTATTCCTGTAAAACCTTTAATTGCACCCTGACGTGCCTTCTTATATAATCCTTTTGTATCCCTAGCTTCACATACATTAAGAGGTGTATCAACAAAGATTTCAAAAAATGGAAGATCTGACATTTTATGAATTTGTCTTGCCATTTGTCTATCTTCTTCAAATGGTGATACAAAACTACATAAACAAATTTGCCCACTATCAGCAAATAATTTAGCTACTTCTGCAACCCTTCTTATATTTTCTTTTCTATCTTCTTTGCTGAAACCAAGGTTGCAGTTTAAACCACTTCTTACATTATCGCCATCAAGTCCATAAGCAGCAATTCCATGATTAACTAAAATAGCTTCAACTTGAAAAGCTATGGAAGTCTTTCCTGCACCAGAAAGTCCAGTTAACCAAACTGTGCATCCTCGGAAGCCTCTTACACTTCCTATTGCTTGTCCACGTTTTGCTCTTGATATATGATGTGCTTGCTCCGATACATTAGTACA